TGTTATTAAATGCATTAACAAATAAGCATATATTTACAAATTAGTATTTTAAAGTTTCTTTTTTTTTTTTTTTGAGATGAGTCTTGCTCTGTTACCCAGGCTGGACTGCAGTGGTGCAATCTCAGCTCACCACAACCCCCGCCTCCTGGGCTCAAGAGATTCTCCTGCCTCAGCCTCCCAAGTAGCTGGGATCACAGGTGTGTGCCACCACGCCCAGCTAATTGTGTGTGTGTGTGTGTGTGTGTGTGTGTGTGTGTGTGTATGTTTAGTAGAGATGGGGTTTCACCACGTTGGCCAGGCTGGTTTGGAATTCCTGACCTCAGGTGATCCACCCGCCTCAGCCTTTCAGAGTGCTGGGATTACGGGCGTGAGCCACTGCACCCAGCTGAGTTTTTAAGTTTTTTGAAAATTTCATTTTAAAATTCTTTGTGGGGTATTTTAAAAGATTATTTTTTAAAAGGTTCCAGGAGCTTCATTAGGCTTCCAAAGGGATCTATGGCACAAAAGGGGAAAAGATCCCCTACTGGAGCCTCGTGGGTAAAACAGCCTGGGTCTCAGGCTCTGGGTGACTCTCTCCTGGTATTTTTTCTTTGTTCTTTTGTAGAAAATAGTGGGGACTTAGCAGGCTCAGGCGAGCGCAATTGCAGGCAGAAACAAGAGAAAGTTCAAAATACGTCTAAACTTTACTGGAAGATTTACTGGTTATCAAGTCAGAAGACTTTGGATCTAGTCCAGGCTTACCTTTAATATTCTCACAGTAGGTGCATTTGCTCATTAAATCAGCAAACCTTTACAAAGGGCCTATCACCAGCCTGACCCTATGCTTGGGCATTGGAGCAGGTAGGCCCAGGGTTCAGTTCATTCTGTCACTCACCAGCAGAGTGACCTTGAACAAGTTATGTCATATCCTGAAGCCTCAGTTTTCTAATCTGTCGAATGGAGATACTGATTCTGAATTTAATAGGGTGGTTGAGAGGATTAGATATGAAGATGGGTATAAAGTACAATAAACACATAGAAGATTATAGTTACTATGAATCACCATTTTGTCTATAGACTCTTGCATCAATGTGCTGCTAGTTGTGAAAGAAAAGCATGTAAAACAGTCTTCTCTTGTATCACTGATGAAATATTTTTCTTTTAAATGCTTTTGAAACATTGTTTAGAGAACTGTAAAAGTAATTAAAAAGGGGAAATGTGAGTGAAAATTCATATTCCTGAAAATATATGAATATTAAAAATTGTATCAGGTGATATAATGACTCATCAATAACCTTACTAGATTATTTATTCTTAAAAGGTATATTTGACCAGGTGCGGTGGCTCATGCCTGTAATCCTAGCTCTTTGGGAGGCCAACGTGAGCGGATAGCTTTGAGCTCAGAAGTTGGAGACCAGCCTGGGCAACATGGCGAAATCCCATCTCTACAAAAAAATATAAAAGAAAAAAATAAAAAGGAAGTGGGTGTGGTGGCTTGTGCCTGTGGTCCCAGCTACTCGGGAACTGAGGCTGGAGGATGACTTGAGCCAGAAAGCAGAGGTTGTGGTGTGAGCTAATATCATGCCACTGCGCTCCAGCCTGGGCAACAGAGCGAGACCCTAAGAAAAAAAAAAAAGGTATATTTTAAAAACTTAAAAAAAGTTCTATCTGTAATTATGATTCTAACAGAGCCATCCCACTGTTTTCTCTCCTGATACCATGTTTTCTAAAAGTCTAAACACAAGGCTTTCCTTCATTTTGGTTTTGAAATTTTGACCATTTATTCATAAACCATGCTAAAAACAGCAACTGCCACCAGGTCGCGCTGTAGTTCCACAATGAAAACAGGCTGGGGTCTAAGGAATTCTCGAAGGTCTTAGTTGTCACATCATTTCTGCTTTTTTGAAGCAAAGAGAGGTGGAAACAAATATTTTAGAGGAAAAAGAAAAGATTTGCTGAAAATAAATAATTTCAAATTCACTATAATTTAAACGTTGATATTCAGCGAAAAAGATTTTATCTGAGAATGTTGCTATTGCTACTTTTAGAAAAAATTGCTTTCAACTCAGTCCTGTTATTTTCCAGATGGAAAAATATAAAACAAATAAATAAAAACCTTGCTGAAAGTTTTCTTTCCTATATTCTCTAGTAGTTGATGGATAATACTATTTTTTTAAAATCCCAAGATAAGGTATATTTTATTTAAAAATTGTAGTGATAGCTTTGATATAAACCAGGCTTTAGAAAATACATAAACACTTCAACTTAAAAACAGTTGTTTTTTTTTTGAAAAAGCCCTTTTTTCTTTTTTGGTCTTATTTTTCCCAAATGTCAATATTTATGAGTCAGGGGTTGTGGGAAATGTTACCTAGAGCTACAAGAGCCAGAGATTGCCCTCTCGTATCCCTGGGGAATTGAGCATGAGTGCCAGAGGGCAATGTTTGGCTGGAAGGACCCAAGCCTTTCCTTCTTTGCACCCCACAGTATGCCCTTTGAAGTGAAAGACATTTCTGTACTCAGCTCTACTTCATAGGAAGTCAACTCAAGATGAGCAATGCACACACATTGCTGTATACCCTTTTAGTATAAAAACAGAGGCAGACTAACAGAAAACCGAAAAAGCCAGAATTAATGCAGGCCATTTGGAGTTTTGGAAACCCTTCTGATAACTTAAGTCACAAATCTAAATTTCTGGATGAGACTATTTTTTGATCATGTCACTTTCAGAACATCAGTCACTTGAAGTTTAACCCCTTTTAGAATTTGGGTGGTATTAATAGTTTTGTCAATGGCAAAGACAGAAGGCCATGAGAATGAAATCCTCACAGAAATAAGGTAAAAATCACTAAATATCAGTAAGTTATGAAGCTTACATTGGTTTTGAAAGTGAACTGTTACACATCAGCATAATGAACAAAATGCATTATTTAATCCAAGTGTTTTAGTTTGCTTCCTTACAAATTGTCAGTTATTAGGGACTGAACAAGAAAATAAAAGCTGAAAATGAACAAGATTTACTGAGCAGAATACGGGGGAACTGGGAGATATACTGGCAAATTGGAGCCACTAACAAGTTAAAAAAATCAGAAACACTTTTGAAAACCAGAAAGTCACCAGTGAAATATGTGTCTAAGGTCAAATGAGCTGTCCTGATGTTGATTCTCAATTTCCTCCTGCATTTAATCGAAGGAGCTTCTCTTTATTTTTTTTTAATTTAAATCTTTAACCCCCATAGATGGTTATGTCTCCTAGTATCTTTTAGCTGAGGATTATAACTTTTTCTTTGTTCTATGAACTTTAACAGTTCTTTATTTAACTTGATTTATTTTTAAATGTCCCACCCAAATACTTAACTGGTTCAAGCACTTAACTGATTTCCAAAGACTTGTATAAATAACAAGATAAAAATTCATAGAACATTTTATTTTCCCACATTGGGAGATAATAGTCCTGTTTCATTTTTAGAAAAATATTGCAAAGAATTATTGAGGTTAATGAAAAATTAGGGGAAATGATAGCATCAGGTTAGTTGGGGAGAAAAAGATTCTCTCTGGGAAGAGACTTTCCTTTCATTTTCCAAACACATGGGTGTGGCCTTTGGCTTTTTTCTCCACCCATGATCAGCTAATTCTAAATGCATTTTCTCCACTTGCCAATGGTATGCCAGCATTTCTGCTGTTTACATTCTGTAGCCTCTTTTTTTTTTTTTTTTCTGTATGTGGGGATTAAAATATTTAGCTCCGAGATGTTGAGAGCATTAAAATAGTAACATGTTCAGCCCTTGGCATACAATAGGTATCCAATGTGTGAAAATTTCCTTCCTCCTTTCTTCATTAACAGGAACACACACACACACACAAAGCACAAGTTTACCCCTATTAAATACCTCTACGAGAATGTAATGCAAAACTTAAGTTAATTTGTACAGCACTTACCGTTCAGCATATACCATTCTCGCAACCAAGTTATAGATATGCTTAATGAAATTAGCATTGGAATCAAGACTCTGAAATTAAAAGTATAAATTCAGGTGGGTAGAGTTAGTATTTAAATATTTTGTATATTTAATTAATATTTGTATGTATATTTGTTTATCACTACATTTATGTTTAATTTATTATTTATCTTAATTTATGTATAGTATATATTCATATGTATATTTATGTTTATCAGTTGGGCATAGAACATACATTGATTTCCAGATTATATGCCCCTGAGAATGTTTTAAGTCTGTTTTGGAATAGGTCACTAAGGCATAGTTCTATGAAGGTATTTCAGGTTTTACACTTCTATTCACTCCAAAAATGAATTATTAAATAAAATTTGATACTGTAGGAAGCTGAAAATAGTCAACTTCCCTTAGCTAGCCACCAATAACATAGAGTTTTTGTGAAAATCAAGCAAGGTGAGGGTGGCCTGTTTTTCTCTAAGAAATACATCTATATAAATGAATGTCATCCTTTTCAGAGAAGTTGCTTTGGGAGTCTAGACACTTCTTTCAACTGTACTGCTATTGCACTAAACGTTTTAGGAACTGTTTTTGGAATTACCTTTAGAACTAGTTAAGGAATCAAACAAAGTAAAAGCTCGTCTCATTATATTGTAGGCTACAGCACATCTATCCAGTCAGTTACCATCTGCCTTATTAAATGGCTTGGTTGTTTCCAAAAATGAAACTTATCCTGATGAAAAAAAATTTTTTTTTTAAAACTACCGAGACATTCAAAGCAATTCCCTCAGTGTGTGAAGGAAGGAAGTTCCTAACTGGAGTTCCAAAACTGTTTTGAAAATCGTTGGAATGTTGCTGCCTACTTTGATGGGGACATCATTCATTTGCATAGATAAATTCAAGTACATTTGTTCAAACCCAGTGTCATTGTCTTATGGTCATGTCTTTTGATGGTAACTATTTATAAAGTGAAATAGGGATCCTTTTGAGCTGAGATAACTCATCAAAAGACAAATGCTATTATTTAAAAAAGAATCATTGTGAATTTTTAACTAGAGTCTGCTGTGTTCAGTTACAGGCTCCAGAAACTTCTGAAAACAAAAGGAGAAAATACAAAGGCCTTTGTGCGCAGATCAGGCCTATGATGTTCCTTTTATCCTCACATGGATTTGTTTAGCGAGTTAATGCAGTGCTTGTGTATGTGATTAAATTTAAGCCAGTCATCATGGAATACAATTATGAAGGCTGCGGGGTCCATATTTTGAAACAGAAGCAGGAAAACAACATGAACTTGTTAGAGGATGAATCCAGACTTTGATCTTAGCAAATACATAAACAGTAACAAGATAGAAATAAAAGGTAAAAATATTTGTAATATATTTATGTTATTAATAAAAAGGGAGATTGGTGAAAAAGGCAGAGCCAAAAAGAAAAAAGAAAGCCTCTGCTTAGGTACTTCGTTAAACCACATAAAAACTGTGAGAGTCCTGAGCAAATGAAATCTGTGACAGAGACTGAAACCCTTGAACCGGGCCTCCAAGGGCTTCATGGTTTTATAGAGGCTGTTACAGACCTGGAGCTTTTCTGGCATCCCAGTCTCAGACCCTCCAGACTCAGGGGCTGCCAAACTGCTAATTTCCCACAAAACTTCAGTAGACTTGTAGTCTCTGACCATCCATCCATGTGCTACATTCCCAGTAAAGCTATGCATCCTTTCAGATTACCCATATTGTGGAAACCAGTATCTGAACAAACCTGGGACCCTTTTGCAAAACTCGGTAGCTGTGCTGTGCAAACCACGATTGCACTATTTCCCATTTGATTAGACATTTTCATCTGGAAATGATTTTTGGAATTAACGTGGTGTCTATTTCTTTTTTTTTTCCAACAAAGCTTTCTCTCTTTTAAAATAAACCCCATGAATAATTTACTCTGCTGCCAGAGATGTGCTTGCTTTTATTTTTATTAAGGCCTGAAGTGTCTGGTATCAGCATCCTTGTGCCCCTCTGGGCTATATGACCTTATGACCTGCATGGTCCTGCCAGGTCACTTTCAGGGAAGGAAGGACTCCTGATGGGGTGGAATGAGCCTCCTGATGTGTCCACACCTTCTCCATCCTGGCCCAATGCCAGCCTGTGTTCAGGCTGCCTCAGATCTCCACAGAAAGAGTTAATGATACACAGCAGAATGTCTGGGCAGATGAATAACAGATGAGTTTCCCAAATCTTGGTAAAACAATGATGTAGAAAGTTGGTGAGGTTTTAGAGATAACCCCCAAAGGTTTATATCACAAAATATATTATTCTTTCCATTTTTCACCTTCCCTAGCTAAGGAGGCTAAAATTCTTCACTAAGTGAAGGAAGTCAGACACAAAACGTCACATATTTATGTGAACTCTCCAAAATAGGCAAATCTATAGAGACAAAAAGCAGATTCATGGTTGCCAGGGGCTGAGGGGAAGGAAAAGGGAGAGTGACTGCTTACAGGGTTTCCTTTGGGGTGATAAAAAACGTTCTGTAACTAGATAATGGTGATGTTTGTAGAATATTGTGAAGGTAATTAACAGTTATTAAAATGGTAAGTTTATGTTATATGTATTTTACCACAACTTTTTTCTTCCTTAGGTAAAGCACAGGTGAAATACAAATAGGAAAATTTGCATTTTACAGAAAGTAATTGTTAAGTCATTTGCACTCATCAATATCTTAGTAGTAATTTTTAGGGCAATTAAGGGGTCTCCTAGTTAGTCCCTGATTATTGGGCAAAACAAAAAAATTGGTTATTGGTGAAAATGGATGAATGAGCAAAGCCAGTGTAGCGCATGTGAGGAAAGGACAAGAAGGCAGGCTGGGGTAGACTGACCTAGTGTAATGGTGAATTTTATGTGTTAACTTGACTGGGCCACGGGGTGCCCAGTGCCTAGATATTTTGTTAAACATTACTTCTGAGTGTGTCTATGAGGATGTTTCTGGATCAAATGTTTTTTAACTGTTGTTCAAAGACATTGGTCTTCTGCTGTTGATCAGACTGGAACTTACGCTATTGTCTCTCCTGGTTCTCAGGCCTTTGAACTTGGATGGAACTATACTATCAGTTCTCCTGGGTCTCCAACTTGCTGACTGCAGATCTTGGGACTTCTTAGCCTTCATAATTTCATGAGTCAATTCCTTATAATAAATATCTTTATATTTTTATCTATCTGTATCTATGCATGCATTTCTAACTAAGGATATATGTATTTCTATCTATCGCCTATTGGCTTTGTTTCTCTGGAGAACCCAAACTAACACAGGTTTTGGTACCAAGAAGTGAAGTGCGGCTGTAAAAGATATCTAAAAATGTGGAAATGGCTTTGGAGCTGAGTAATGGGCAGAGGCTGAAAGAGTTTTCAGGTGCATGCTTGAAATATGAATATAAAAAGAGATTTCGATGAGTTCTTAGATGGAAATGATGTTATTGGAAACTGGAAGGAAGGAAATTCTTGTTATAAAGTGGCAAAGAACTTGGCTGAATGGTGTTCAGGTGTTTTGTGGAAAGTAGAACTTGTGAGCAATGAAATTGCATATTTAGCAGAGGAAATTCCTAAGCACAGTGTTGAAGTAGCATCTTCATTCCTCCTGAGTGCTTATAGAAAAATGTGTGGGCTAGGCACAGTGGCTCACACCTGTAATTCCAACACTTTGGGAGGCACAGGCAGGTGGGTCACTTGAGGTCAGGAGTTCAAGACCAATCTGACCAACATGGCAAAATCCTGTCTCTACTAAAAATATGAAAATTAGCCAGGTGTGGTGGTGCATGCTTGTAATCCTAGCTACTTGGGAAGCTGAGGCAGCAGAATCACTTGAACCCAGGAGGTGGAGGTTACAGTGAGCTGAGATCATGCCACTGCACTCCAGCCTGGGCTACAGAGTGAAACTCTGTCAAATGTGAGAGGAGAAAGATGAATGAAGAAGAAATTGTTAAACAAAAACGAACCAGAGCTTTAAGGTTTGGAAAACAATCAGCCTATTCATATTGCAGAAAACTGAGAAAGCATGTTCTAAAGAGTATGCCAAGGGTATGGCTGGATTATGGTTTGAGAAAGAGTTTATGGGATGATATGAGCAGAAACACTGCCAGTTTGAACTGAAGAGGGTGGAGATGGAACAAAATGAAGGAAGGCTGTCAGAATTCTTGGATTCTGTGAAACAGGACTGTAAAGTTATTTGGCTGTGAATGCATGCTATTCTTCAAGGAAAAGGAAGAATGACTTCAAATGTGACTCAGAGATCATTAGGGCTGTCACTCCCACAACAGACCCAGGGGATAAGGCTATCTCCTCTTTGATTTCAAAGAGTGTGGCCACCCCTCTTGTTTTAGAAGGTGAGAAAAGCCCTACTCAGTGTCTTAGGAGTGGGCCCACAAAGTGTCACCTTGGGGGCAGGGTCACTCAGAGTCTCAGGTGCATTACTTTTTTTTTTTTTTGAGACAGGGTTTGGTTCTGTGGTTCTGTCACCTAGGCTGGTGTGCAATCTTGGCTCACTGCACCTCTGTCTCCTGGGCTTAAGCCATCCTCCCATCTCAGCCTCTAGAGTAGCTGGGACTGCAGGTGTGCACCACCATGCCTGGCTACTTTTTGTTTTTATTTTGTTTTGTTCTTTGTAGAGATGGGGTTTCACCATGCTGCCTAGATTGGTCTTGAACTCCTGGGCCCAAATGATCTGCCTGCCTCAGCCTCCCAAAGCGCTAGGATTACAGACTGGAGTCACTGTGCCTGGCCTTGGGTGCATTACTTCTTCAGTGGGTCCTGAAGGTGGGAGTGCTACCCTACTGGGCACAGAAGGCAGAGCATGGGACCAAAGAGAATTATTCTTGAGCCCTAAAATTTGATGGAATTCACCTTGCTAGGTTTTAGATTTTCTTGGGACATGTCTTCCATCTTCTGGCTTCTCCCTTTTGGAAGGAAAATATCTATCCTATGCCTGTCCCACCATTGTATTTAGGAAGAAAATAGCTTGTGTGGTGAAACTAAATACCATTTAAGTCAGATATGTCAGATATGGGTGAGACCTTATCTTTGGACTTTAGACTTGATGCTGGAATGAGTTAAGGCTTTTGGGGCAATTAGGGTAGAATGAATGTATTTTACACACTAGAAGGATATAAATTTTTGTGGTCCATGGCAGAATGTTATGAAATGAATGTTTGTGTCCCCTCAGAATTCATTTGTTGAAGCCTTACCTGCCAATGTGATAGTATTTGAAGATAGGGACTTTAGGAGGCAATTAGGGTTAGAGTAGGTCATGAAGGTAGGGCCCTATTAAGAAGAAGACTTTTTTTTATTATTCCACTTGAGCACAAAGGAAAGACCATATAAGGGCACAGTGAGATGGTGGCCATTTGCAACCCAAGGACAGAGACCCCCTCACCAGACACCAACTTTACTTGTCCCTCGATCTTGGACTTTCTAGCCTCCAGAACTGTGAGAAATAAATTCCTATTGTTTACATTACCCAACATATGATGTTTTATTATGGCAGCCTGAGCTGACTAAGACACCTGGTGCATCTCAGTGGGGAAGGACAGAACAAAATGAAAGTGTGCATGAGCTGGGAGAGGGCCAAAGGCAAACCTGCTGCCTTGTTCAGGCTCTGTCCTGCTTTGGACCAAGAGATCTCAGATTGGGTCAAACATGTGGGTTTATCAGAATGGCAATCCCTCCTGTAAGGTTCCACTCATCAGAAGTTCACCAGGCATGGGGAGGCATGCCCTGCAGAGAGCCCAGTAATAGCCATCTACCAAGGTGACTAAGACATCACCTGTCCATAAGTACCACAAGAGGCCAAAACTGATCAAAGTAAATACAAATTTGAAATTCTTTGATGGGGAATGATCATGTTCTAAAACCCAAATTCTTGAGTTAATAATACACTGTGAAATATTTAAAGGTTATTGCAATTATGCATGTTTATTTCTAATGATGATTGCTCAATGACTTCTAGATGCTGGGAGGAACTGGAATATGGGGAAGAAAAGATTCTCACTCCCACGTATTTTCCCGGAGAAAGACAAATAAAAGGTCCCAACCACACATTCATTTTCTATAATTGTACTTTTCAGCAATTAGGGTCAAATGACTTCTTAGTATTTGTCTGCTATTAGTTTAAATGGGTAGTTCAAAGGAGAAATAGTCACATCTCAATGTTTTGTTAAATTATAAAGCAGCAGATTGGACAGAAGCCTCCTTTTGTGAGCTCCCTGACAGTGCAGGGGTAGATTAGATTGGCCCTTGCAGTCTAGCTTTCTCTTATCTTTAAAGACTTGTCTCCTCCTAAGCGTTTGTCTTCCTCCTGTCCTCCATCCTACATAGTCCCTTTGC